AGCACTGCTTTAATGTCTCTTTTAAAACTATTCCCTAGCTGTTAGAATGGTGTAAATTGTACACAAACGCTACCCTTAGATTCAGAACTCACTGTGGGCTGGGCATTGGGAAGATTGGGATACAGGGTACCTGCTTTTTTTTTTTTTTAAAAAAACAGTTTTATTTATTTATTTTTTTGTGAGGAAGATTAGCCCTGAGCTAACATCCATGCTAATCCACCTCTTTTTGCTGAGGAAGACCGGCTCTGAGCTAACATCTATTGCCAATCCCCGCCCCGCCCCGCCAAAGCCCCAGGAGATAGTTGTATGTCATAGTTGCACATCCTTCTAGTTGCTGTATGTGGGACGCGGCCTCAGCATGGCCGGAGAAGCGGTGCGTCGGTGCCCGCCCGGGATCCGAACCTGGGCCGCCAGTAGTGGAGCACGAGCACTTAACCGCTAAGCCATGGGGCTGGCCCCCAGGGTGCCTGCTTTCACAAAGCTCGTGGCTGGTAAGGGAGCTGACCAATTAACAGTGTAACTTCATAGACGTAAACCCTGGGGTGCTATGGGAGCACAGAGAAAGAGGAGGATGGAGGGGGTCCCAGTTTTCCAGAAAACATTGTGGCCTGTGTACAACAGTGCTTGAGACAATAATAGGCAAAATGATCTAGTGCCAGAAAGTGTACCAACATGTGTTAGGGCTAGACTGCTTGATTTTGAATCCTGGCCCTACACTTGCTTCCTGTGCGACCTTGGAGACTTCCTTAACCTCTCTGTGCCTTGGTTTCTTCAACTACAAAATGAGCATAACAGTCGAACCTGTCTCATAGTTGTGAGAGCTGTGCACTCAAAACATGTTTTTATCATTTGATTTTTTAAGTGCTTGCTTTTAAATTCTCCATTGTGGAATCTCAGTTGGTGTTTATAACTAAAATTCTTGCCTGACACAACACTGTTTTGTATTTATAATGTAGTTTAAAAACTTTCATAGGTTTATATTGTGTAATTTGTTTACAGAAAATTAGTTACTTAGGTTATATAGTTTGCTAAATATATACTTGTCACTTTACTTTTTATCCATGGAAACAGGATTGCGGAAGTAGCACTGGTAAACATTAGGTAACCACCAAACTAGAATTGGTTCATGCTGCAGATCTTGTGAAATGAATAGTGAGTAGTTCAAGACATTGTGTCATGCTTTGCTGTTGTCATACAGATTCTCTCTCAGGCCCTCAACCATCCTGCCTGGAAGGCAAGCAGGAACAGGTGTTATAAAACTGCTCTAAGCCTCAGTTTTCTCTTGTGTGAAATTGAGATCTGTGGCTTGAGCAGGGTCACAGGACTAATGTGTGACAGAGCTGGGACCAGAACTCCTCCTTCTGATGGCTAATCCGCTGCTTTTCTTGTGGATCATGACAGAACTCTTAGTATGCAGAGAGCTTGGTTGTCTGCAGTCCTCAGGGAAGACACCATTGTGGAGGAGGATAATTTTCTAAATAAACAAGGGGATAGCTCTCTCAACCTTTTGATTAATATGCTTTTTTGAATTTAAAATTGTGTGATAACCTGTTTCTGTACCTCCTTAACGCGGCTGACATCCTCGTGGGCTGCCCAGCTTCCCTCCCTGCACTTCCTGCAGACACCCCAGGGCACTCACTGGCTGCATCATGGCACCCTGTCCTCTTAGGGGCCGAGGTTCGGGTACCTGTTGGGTGACCCTTCACACTCACTCAGTTACACACACACAGACGCTGCAGTGGCTGCTGCACCTGGTGAGGCACCAGGAGCTTTTCATTCTTTGCGTGCTGCCTCCACCGTCTCAGGTCACTTGTGTCGCAGTCAGTCTCTCTTCTTGAGAACCTGGTGTTCTCTGCTCTTGCCACTTCAGATTTCTGACTCTGTTTTTGTTCTCTTTGCCACACTCTGTGATTTCTCGTCCTCTTCTCTGATCCGTATGTTCTTTCAGCATTTGTTGAGCACCTGTTCTGTGCTGTGCCCGAGGATGGGAGGGTAAAGGAGAAAACCAGGCAAGGAAATGAGTGTAATATGGCACAGAAGGTGCAGATGCTGTGAGAGCCGAGTGGGGAAAGATGGATTCTACTGGGAAACTTAGGCACACCTTCACAGAGCAGGTTACATCTGTGCGTGTTCACCTCTGGACAATGGGAAGGGAGTTCTCGGGCCAGAGAACAATGTGAACTGATTGACGTGTTTGCAAGAAATGAAAAACAGTGTAACTAGAGAATTGTGACCTCGAGATTCAGGGAGGCAGGTGTGAGGCACAACTGAAAAGACAACCAGGGCCAAGTTGTAAGTGATCTGGTGTCACCACTGCGTAGGTATTGGACCTTACCTGGAGGTAATGAAGAGCCGCTGAAGGGTGTCCATAGCCAGTCTGTGAACATGCTGACTCCGGCTGCCAGGCCAAGTTGCGGCTGAAGGGAGGAAAGATTGGAAGCAGGGTGCCAGTCAGGAAGCTTTGGCAGTAACCTGAGAGAGAGGAGGAGGATTTAACTTGGGTGAAGTACAGAAAGAAAAGGACAAAGTTAATAAAATGTTCCAGAGCAAGAATCAGTAGGGCTTGGTGAGGGGAGAGAAGGGGTGGTCAGAACTGGCCCTGAGCTTCTAGCATAACTGTGTCACTGGTGATGCCATCAGCTAAAGTCAGGGCTGCAGGAGAGGGTGGGATTAGTGGGGAAGATACTGAGTTCGGTTTTGAAGGTTAAAGGTATCTGTGGGATTTCTAGGTGGAGTTGTCCAGGCTCAGGAGTCAAAGCTGAAGATATGATGACTTTAGGATTTAGATGATGGTTTAAAAGGAGAGTATGTGTAGGAAAAAAAGAAGAGAAAAAGAAAGAAGGTGACTGAGAGCACATCGGAGATTGAGACCCTGAAGGATGGCTGGCGTTTTACCGTAACTCGCGTTCTGTTAGGATGTGGTTAATGGAGCTCGAACCAGCAGACACTTAAGGGTCAGGTGGAGGAGAGGAGCCGCCAAGGAGGCTTAGGTCAGAAAAGTCCGAGATTCGAGAGAGAAGAGCGCCACTGGTGGGGGGCGGCCGGCAGGAATGGGGAAGCTGCAGGTCAGATGCTGGCTGGGATTATGGTGAAGTGACCTTTGGGGCTCATGACTCAGCTCACTGGCACAGTGAGAATTTGTGTAAGTGCAGTCTCTTCTGCTTTCTGAATGTGCTGTTGCTTCTCAGTTTTTACATGACAGAATTGATATTTATAGATAGCAGCTAATGAGAACATCCTTTTCTTTCTAATTGGAAAACTAACTGAACTGAGTAAGAGTATAATTTTTTATCTTTCACTACTTTTGGCTGTTCCTGTTTGCAGCTCAAAAGGCTTTCTTTTTCTCCCCTTCAAACAGCAGCTCTTGTTCTGGATCTAGCCAGCCTACAACATATGAGCAAGTATCTAACCCAAAGTTTTATCTACATGGATTTGGTTACACTAAGGCCTTTTAATCTGAACATCTGTTAATATGTACAGTATAATACAGTTCACATCTCGTATGTGGCTTCAGCTGTAAGTGTACTGACAGTACAGTGCTCCTAGTGCAGTTGATGACTCGGCCTGCCCTGCGCTAGGCTGGAGGAGGTGCAGGTCTGCTTTTCGCTCCATCTGTTTCGATCCCCAGACATCTCGCATGGTATCACTAACTCTCCAGATAGATTATGAATCTGGTATTTAAAGAAAGGTGTGTTTGTGTGTAATTTTTTTTTTATAGTATAACTTCTGTAATAAGCAAGCCACTTGAACTGATGCTCAACAATCTAGCAATCTGTTCCAGTGCTGGAGCAAGTAAGCTGTTTTAGATCCATTGGGAGCTAGTAAGTGTGCTTCTGAGTCTTCCTAAGGGCTTTTCAAGGGTATTTTTGACCACATGCTCTTTTCCCCTTTCCTGCAAACTTTGCGTCCTAGCACTCACGTAAGATGGAACTGCTTAAGCCGATACTCATAAATGAAATCAGCCTTCCCTCTCATTTTTTGGAGGGAACACCAATACTGTATTTGGTCAGAGGACCACAAGGCCAGCTCAGGGCAAAGAGGACGATTTGAAGCTTTGGTATCCTGAATTCTGGAAGAACAAGAGCAAGGGTAGGAAGGTATATGTGAAGTGAGAGATACTGAGAGGTCGTTGAGGTGATGGGCTGTCAGGGAAGTGTGACGTGTGGGAGATAGTTGGGATCAGGCATTAACAACCTTGGCTTCTCATCTCAGGTCTGCCAGTTATAGCCAAGTGGAAAGTATTCAACCTCCTTTGGCCTTACTTTCTTCTTCTAAGACGAGATGGCTCTGTGGGTGAATTTGCTTTGGAGGAACAGAGGAAACAAGTGGGGAAATCCCAGGAAAGGAAAGTCTTTCAAATCTGGCTGAGGTTCTACTTTGTATGACTTATGATGATCATCATCATGTTGGTAAGCCTTCCCCTAGGGAGATGGCATTATTTAGACACTTTTGCAGGATCTCTGAGGCTGAAGAAGGAATATGTTGCACCAGTATCCGTGTACTTCCCCCAGGATAGTTCTTGGACTGATGCAATGCCTGTTAGGTGACCTGGCTCCCTTTGATATATATATATATATATATCTATATATATACACATATATACGGAATCATATATATATATATAAAATATCGATTTTATGTCCACTTAGTATCTACTCTTTTTACCTCCATTCTATCTCTGTATCAGTCCAAGTCCTACATCACCTGTAAGACCCAGGACTGGGTTCTCACAAAACGCTTTTCTCACTATTCTGGTTCGTCATCCCTTCTATATTTCTGTGGTGTTTTCAGTTTATACCACACAAAGCAGCATTTTTCTCAACAGTCTTTGCTGATCATTTGTGTGTAGGTTCAGGTTCGGGGCACAGAATTATAGATTACTTTGTTTTATTCTCTTATTGTTTTATATACGTATTACCTATGGCCCCAGCTAGCGTGTAAGTTCCTCGATAAATACTGTTCTTTTTGTTTTGTGTCATTTTCTTTTCCTGTAGAGCTTTCATTGTTGAGGTTCCTCACTGCTGAATTAACAAGAGGATACTTCCTTGAACATAATGAGGCCAAGTATACAGAAAGAAGAGAAAGAGTATACACTTGTATGCGAATACCAAGAGAATTGGAAAAGGTACTATTTTTTTCTGTTTCCAGGCATCATTTTGAAAGTTATGTCAAGTGTTAATTATGCAAAAAAAAATTGTGAACAGCTTGAGTTGAGTTTTAAAATATTGGAAATAATGTGATCACAGGTAATTAAATATATTGGGGGAGTAGGAATTCCCATACAGGAAGAGGCTTTAAAAAGTATATTTTTAGTGTAAGATCCAATGATTCTTTGCTACTTATTAAAATTACCATATTTCCATTTGAGTCTCATCCAAATAACTTTTTCCAAGGAGTTAATCTCCACTTCTTTAGTTCTCTTCAGTTTTGTTTTATTAGAAGCAGTTTTTTATTTCCATTCAGCATGATAAATTATTTAATTTCAGCCTTTTTTAAGGTTTCAGTTTCTCAGAAAGCCCTCATATTTAAAAACATAAAGGACAGTCTCTTCAAAGACAAGACGATTCGTCACAGAAAGCCTCATGTTGTAGGATAAGCGTAGTAACGTCAGCACTGGATCCTTACGCACCGTGTTCCTGGGTCGTGTCCTAGTCCATCAGGACCAGTCAGCTGTGACAGGAGGGCTGCTCTTTTTCCTCTGCTTCGCTAGAGTTGGGAGTCTGAGTCATTCTGAAATTTCTTGCTAGAAGGAAAAAATTAAGAAATAATTCAGCTTTAGCTATATTGAAACGTGTTTTCATACTTTTGTAGTAACATAGACCTTGTAATATTCCACAATCACTTCCTTAGAATCATACTTTCTATTGGAGTGGCCATCAGAAGAGTTTTGTTGCTTTGCTTTATCAGCGTATAATAACAAGAGGTGTGGTAGACAATGAGAAGTAAGGTCCCAGTGGGTTTGGCTGATGTTCTCTTATTTCTGGCAGTGCATCAGTTTGGTAGAAGGAAGAGAGTCAGATGTGGAGTGACAGTTTGAGAAGTGTTGCTTTATATAGGTTCTTGGTGGCGTGTCACATGCTGAAATTTTAGGAAGGTCAGTATGTGTTAGGGTGAGATTTAGAGAGCTGGGGAGCAAGCAGAGATTTGAGAGAGAACAAATACAACAGTGAAACAGTTCGTTGCCTTTGGTTAGGATCAATAAATATGCTTAGTTATCATTGTACTGCTGCCTTTCTAGGGAGTTGTAGGGTTCTGTGGCGGAGCCACGGGCCTGGTGGATGAGGAGGGAGACAGAGGAGTGTGTGGGGCGCTCTGCAGCACTACTGTCCAAATGCCTTTATTTTGTATATTGGAATTATTTTGTGTGTGTGTGTGTGTGTGTGAGGAAGATCAGCCCTGTGCTAACATTCATGCCAATCCTCCTCTTTTTGCTGGGGAAGACTGGCCCTGAACTAACATCTGTGCCTGTCTTCCTCCACTTTTTATATGGGACGTCGCCACAACACGGCCTGACAAGCGGTGCCTCAGTGTGCGCCCGGCATCCGAACCCAGGCTGCCAGCAGTGAAGCGCGCACACTTACCCGCTATGCCACAGGGCCGGCCCTATATATCGGAATTTATGTAAGATTTTGTTGTCGGGGTGGTGGGTAATGTTTCTTCTGCTTGCCAGAAAAAAATTTAAACTAATTTTTGTCTTTCCTAAAACACTTTAACCTGCTTTTCAAAGCTCACTTTTTCTTCCAATGATAAGCATGGGATGGAATTGTGAGGACACACTGCAGAGGCAGTTGGAGGAGTGGTCTTCTGGGGCCTGTACTCTTGTACCAGACAGTGCCAGCCACATTGTTTATGTTTATGTCTCAGCCCTCTACAAGGAATTTTCTTCTCCCACCTGTCTGAGCAGTTCTGAGCTCCCATTTTTCTCTGGGGAGAACATAGAGGGATTTGCCTTTAGCCCACAGCCAAACTTTATGGACACGCCCAGAGGACTGCTTCAAATTGGGGAGGTGTCTGTCAACGCCTTATATTACCCCTCCTGTGGCTGAAATAATGAGCAGTGGCAATCCACTCATAATTCTGTCGCCTCATCAGAGGCAGGTTCAACACATACATTCTTCTCTCTTCTTTACTAGCAACGTTGAAATAACAAGCAAGTTTCTGGGTAGATTTGTCACAGAATCTTGTAAGCATGTCATGCTGTTATTGTGAGTATTAAATTGTCTTCTGGGGAAAATGCCCACAGGCTTTGATGAGACTTGAGTACAAACCAGTGCTTTTCAAACTATGGTCCATTTTGGGACCACTGATGGGTCAAGTAACTCATACGGTAAGTTGCAATCAATTAGGATTTTTTTTTTTTAAGGAAAAGAATAGAAAAGTATCAGAGTGCCCTGCCTGTACTAAGGGTAAGTATTTTTTCATGAAACTTTGGTTTCGTTTGTGTATATGTAAAATGTATAACGTCAGAAAAGTTGAATTAACACTGCTTGTGTACAATTGTAATAATTTTCTAATCTTTGTTTCCCATGACAGAGGCTTTTGACTTTAGGCATATTTGGGAAAATTTTATTTGTGTCTTAGAACAACACTTCAGAAATTTTATTGCTTAAAAAGTACAAAAAGGGGTCCAGCCCGGTGGTACAAGCGGTTAAGTGCACGCTCTCTGCTGCGGTGGCCCGGGGTTCGCGGGTTCGGATCCCGGGCGCGCACTGATGCACTGCTTGTTAAGCCATGCTGTGGTGGCGTCTCATATAAAGTAGAGGAAGATGGGCACGGGTGTTAGCTCAGGGCCAGTCTTCCTCAAGAAGAAAGGGGAGGATTGGCATCGGATGTTAGCTCAGGGCTAGTTCTCCTCACAAAAAAAAAAGTACAAAAGGATGTCCTGCTTTTTAGTTTAGAGCAGTTTCATCTTAACTTCTAAGACTAAGTGAAATGTACGGGAAAGCAGAGTTAGATTTCAGTTTAATTCCAGGCTTAGGTATCAAAACAGCATAAATTCCCTCTGATATCTCTGAGGCCTTTATTTTATATGAGTAGGCTTTTATTATAAGAGTTGGGAAGCTATCTAGACATTCATGTTAATGAATTATTTTTTGTTGGTTTCATTTGTGTTTACATTGTCTTTTCTAATGTATAATACCTTACTCATTTTTTTTCTTGTTTTTTGGTAAATTCCATGATATTTTCACCCAGCTTTTCAGGAAGAGAAACTTGATTAAAAAGCACTTTGCTTCTACAAGGGTTGCAAATACTATAAAACATGTAATTAGTGTTGATACTTTAAAGTCAAGAGAAAGGTCAACTTATTATCTCTTACCAAACCTGTTTGCTAATGTAAAAACATCCCAGAATTTTTGTATAATCTTGTCAGTGGATAAGCATGTTATGCTTGACATTTAATAAAGGTGAATTGCTTATATATTTAAAATAGTATTTTCAGTTCTTAGCACTTTTTTCACATTTGAACTTCTTGTTCTCGTGAAAGGGTATAAAATTTTGGTTGGTTTGTTGGCTTTTAGGGAACATTTCTTCTTTTCCGTCACAAGTCCCTTTGCCATCTGCGCCCACACACCCCTTGGGTTCTTATCCTAGATCTGCTACTAACTGCTTTTGTGGTCCACCTTGGGGGCTGTTTTTCTCTGCCATATGACCGAGGAGATTGAACTACACTTTCTCTGCTCTCTAAACTGAGAGACAGGATGTGAAGTGGCAACCTGCCTGGATTTGACTCTTGGCTCCGCAGTTTATTAGCTGTGAGGCCTTGAGTAGTTCCCTTCTATGTGCCTCAGCTTTCTCATATGTATATTGATGATGTGGTAAGCCGTGTGTAAGTATTTTAAAATCTTTTACAATCCTCACTTCAGCAAATTGGGGAATGCCCTGCCCTGGGAGAACATTTTGGAAGGTTTCTTGTCCAGTGGATGTCTCTTTGCAGTGGGGTACAGGTCCTGGTGCCCTGGACAGCAGGAGGTGATTGGGAAAGGCCTGGACTCAAGGTCTCCCTGGATCCCACTTTTATCTCATACGTTTAATCTTCCTGCTTCAGTTGCTACTAATCTTACTTCTAACCCTGCAAGGGACATGATTTTCTGACTCTCAGTCTTCTTGGATTGCTGACCTCAGGCAGAAAGAGTCTTTAGGGAAAACTGTTATCTTCCCTCTTTCCTTCCCTCCAGGCTGTCTCAGAGTAAAGCTTATCTCTTTCATGAAGGACTTAGCTGATGGCCATAAGAGATGACACACCTTCACACCCTGACGTCTTCTGCCAAGCCCTCTCTGGCCTCAGCAGGCGCGTGACTGGAGCTTGTAGTTAGGACAGACAAGGGATGCTTTCACTAGATGCTTGGTGAAGTCAGGGCAGAGATCACCAATTTCCTAGAGGGCAAATTCCTGGTGAATGAGTACTCCCTGCTCCATACCCCACCTTGACTCGGCCAGGTACAGCCCACCTCCGGCATCCAGCTCTGTGTTAATAATAAAGCAAGTAGCATTTATCAAATAAGTGTTAGGTCCTAGGCACTGTCCTAAGCACTTTAAATGAGTTAGCATTAAATCTCAAGAGCCTCATGAGATACATGAGATATGTACTTTCGAAGTTCCGGTTCCTTCACCTGCCCTGTTGTGGTAGTCTCACTGACACCCACACAGATCTCACCTCCAACCCATGTTGTGGTGGAAACATGTGCAAGTGTATATTCTGTGTTTTGACCCCATTTACCCTGCACCATGTACAAAATTATCACTTGTCCAAGGGCTAATTTTGTCATCTGTGTGAATCCAAAACTGCAGGAAATAGAAAAGAAATGTTCACCATAGTATTTTCTAAAATGCTCAAAAATATTTAAGTGCTAATTTAGAGAGATACAGATTACTCCTTCCCTTATTTGTTATTTTTCTCAGTCTTTGAGTACGTATGGTGTTCCAGGCACTTTTACAGTGTGGAAGTACGGAGATAAACCTGAGACTCGTGAAGCTAATGGCAAGGTGATGAGCTAAAGAGATCGACTTTGTACATGCAGTTTAGGGCGTGTGTGTGCGTGCGCGCGTGTGTGTGCGTGCATGCACATGCACGCTCATGGGGGTGGGTATGCTAGAAAGACCCAGAGGTGGGGAATTGTTAGGTAC